TTTATTTATATCAGGTATGGTCAAACCCTTCATTCACATGCGTGCATCGAGGTTCTATTATGTCGAATCACTATGGAGGCTGCAACGAAATGCAAGGAAAGGCAGATTCGAAAGCATCTGATCTCTCAAGTAAATATATGAGCAATTAGATTCTGTTACCACTTCCGTTAATGATAGCTCGTGTGCACGAGTAAGCCGCATAGCGCCGATCCTATGAAGTGGTTGGATTGCACACATATGCTTGCTCGGATCCGATGTACATACTCAGATACTTCCCAGCTTGCTTGTGACTTTATACTTGTACCAGATATATACAATATGCATGCACATAAACATGCTCTTGCTTGTGGCTGTTTGTGCATACCCAGGTACGCCGAGCGCATGCGGCTGGCAGGAAGTATGGTGTACCGGTTGTTGTGAATCAAGTGATGTACAACCTTCTCGACTACAATAGTACCGAACTACGCGAGATGGAGAAAGCCTGCAATGACCTGGACGTCAAGATCATCGCATACTCGCCCATAGGCCAGGGGCTGCTCACCGATTCCTTGACTCCAGAAAAACTGGTCAAGAACAGACCCGCGAAAATGACGGGGCTCACGTGGGACAAACTGCAGCCGTTGAGGGAGTGCATTCGGAGTATTGCGCAGGTGTGTGTGTGTGGTGTCAACTGTGGGGCTTACATCTGTACAGCGTGCGAAAGGGCGAATGCGGGCATTCCATAATAGTGGTCACAATTCTGTTTCACGGGGTAGTTTAAAACGTATCAATTACATATAAAAAATTATCTCCAACACGGGAATCGAACCCATGGCAAATGAGATTATGGCTTTGTGTGAAGAAGATAGTCTGCAATGGCCGGGTACCCGTAATCACAGGCTACTACCCTCGGGCTGTCCTGACATTTGCGTTCACCCGCGTATAGTTGTCTCCCCCGCTGTGTTAGTGGGATGGCTATGTTGTGCCTGAAGTTTTGTATGGCGATGAGCTGCGCCACAGATCCATAACACACCCAGTTTAGTACAGTTTAATATTTTTGAGATAGTACAATGCCAGTGCAATAACAGTCCAATACCAGAGAATCCCGTACTGGAAAGTGGGCATGCCATCAGTATACATCTATGCTAGGAACAAAGCCACGAACCCACTCCTACCATTGCAAACCCATGTCCCACAGGCTCACGACCGCAGCATGGCCCAAGTGTGTATCAACTGGTGCATTCAACACAACACCATACCCCTCGTGGGATGCCGGTCCGTTTCCCAGGCGCAGGACACCTTGGGTGCACTCGGCTGGGAGCTAACCGAAAGTGAAGTTCGGGACTTGGACGAGGTGGCCCTGGCCCGCAGTACACTGGAGAGCCCGACATGGAGACGGGCGTTGTTTGTGCAGTTGGCGGGGGTCTTTATGGTCGCCTGTAGTGTGTGCGACAACTGGCTGGGGCGGGGGATGGTCGAGGAAGCCCGGTGAGTTCTGGTACATTCTATAGCAAGCAATGATGCATAGGTAGTACCGAACATGTTCTTGTCTCGAAAGCGAGAGGAGGATAATATATTTACTTGCAAACCGTGGGGCTTAAAACTTCATTTTCTGTCAGTAGATTCGGACTTTTTACTACCAGTGGCACAACTCAAGCCAAAAAAAATTCACTCGACCAATGATTTCGCCCATATTTATAGCCATTCGGCTGCGATTCCCAGCCCCAATTCCAGTGGTTCACTCCCTCGACAGTGAAACCACCACTTCGACTGCTCATATATGTGATTTACAAGTATATGATATACGAGCTCTCTCATCTCTACGTTGGTACGTTAGCGGTATACAGCTTTGTGTACTATATAAATACATCATTGATGGCATGGCTTTATACCACAGTGCTTCATGTATACGGTATCCTACGTCGTTTAAACAGGAACAGCGGTGGGTAGGGTACTCATATGCATAATTTATATTCCCGTTATGCTAATAAAACTCGCGGCGCCGAACCTCTGGGGCATGTTGCATACCACTGCTGCTCAGTGCAATTCTATTTTTGGTATTAATACTAATCTGTGGCATAACTGCTTCGCATACGGGCTTATGAGAATGCATACCAAGTATCCCATCATTTGAAGTCAATGCAGAAACTTTCGAACAAAGAACAGGAGGCTATATAATAAGTCGGATTCTATTCAACTATGGCGAGAAATACATACGTACACAGCGCCAGCTTGTTAAACCACACCGCCGTCCAGCAGAAGGGCAAACTTCAACATCGATATGTTCCCGAGTATCGAAGTTAACTTCAGAGCACATTCACATGACAAAATTAAATTGGCATGCATGTGGTCCGCCAGGCGTAATAGTACAGAATTGGCAATACACACCAGATAAAGGATACCTCCATTCACTCGACCAATGACCTCGCTTATATTTATAGACATTCGGCTGCGATTCCTAGGCCCGACCCCAGTTACTTTGACTATGTTTTAAGAAGAGAGGGTTTAACGAGAACTTTCCACTAAACCAATTTAACGGAATGTATTTTTCGGCCAATATATTTTTTTTTGAAAACAACAAGGATCCCAAAATCGACACATAGTTTACTTTTAGCGGAAAGTCGCTAAACGTTACTAAACCACAGCCATCTAAAATCGGCCCATTTAAACGGGTATGGTTAAACGTACCACTGAAACTACATTTTATATTTTGAATTGGAAAAAAAACAACACATTCAATGTACGTACCTAAATTTGAATCATTTCTCCACAAAAAAAACCCTGATACGTTTGGATCAGAATTTCAGTCATTTTGGCTCGGGCAAAAATCGTTGTATCATACTTCGTAGCAAAGCGACATATTTAAAAAATTATTTCAGCGAAGCCTTCCCGTTAAGTAGACCCTTTTTTCCTTTATTTTTTACCTACATTGGAGATCTTAACCTTATTTGGAAGGCGTGTGATCAATTCATTGTCGCCGATCGCGCGGATCAAATCCTTTTCGATGGGAACGTCAGCGCTCTTGATGAATATTTCGCGCGCAAACTTTGAGGCTGTGTTAAACGATTCAAATGTCATTGGCTGAGAAATGATGGGCATTATTGAACCAGAGGTTGACATAGACATACACTTTTGAATAAAGTTTAAAATACACTTTTGAAGTACAACTTTGCGTTTACTTGTCAATCTGAGAATGACTCACTTTGAGTCCGAAGTTTGACCAGGAATCAACGCGTACTGAAAAGAAGATCACAAAAAGATAGGCCTTTGGTGCAATATGAACATACAAACACTTTACATTCTCATACCAAGAATCAAGCACATACACATATACTTACACATTCAGATACATACGAGCCCTACCTTTGCCCTTCTTGGTTAATCCCGGGAGTGCTTTCACTTTGTACTTGAAGTTGTGCATAGATGCATACGGTGCACAGTAGGCCATAGCAAAAAGGAACTCGTCGGTCCCATTCGGCTGCCCCGTGAGCGTACTTAGTACGGAGACCACCTGTTTAGGGTTTTAGGGTTTTAGGGTTTAGAAGATGTGCATGTGTTCGGGGCAGGAATCGAGACAACATGTGTCACGGTGTATGAACACAGAGATTATTTCTCTTAATGGCTGTGTGTTAATATCTGCTATGTAGAATATATGCCAAATTTTAGTGCATTGTAGAGTATATATATATATATATATATATATCTATATACATACATACATACATACATACATACATACATACATACATACATACATACATACATACTTACATACATACATACATGCATACATACTTACATATATATATATATATATATATATATATATTTTATATATATATTTATATATCACTGCACTCAAATTAACTACAGAGATACGAGCAATATGTATATACATGGGTAGCTGCAGGCCTTGCACATACCTCTGTATGTACATCCATTTCGGGTTCATCGTCAACAACCTCCGGCTTCATGTGTTCAGCCTGTTGGGAACGCACAGAGTCACAGTTGTGTTTAGATTAAGGGCCGAGTTGCACCAGAATTACCATGGACCGGACTTATCAGATAGTTGGAAGTACTAAGCAGTCTAACTACAACATTGTGAAATAAGATAGATGTTCCGAAAGTTTTAGGACTTTCGGGGTTAAACCGCACAGGAATACCACGAGCGAGTTATTTGGCACTTACAATTGGGCTGTCATGTGATGTGTTCTAAATAATATATCGCATCGACGTACGCAAGTGAGAAATGGGACATACCATCCGTTAATACTGGCTAACTACAACAATGCGAAAGTGGACGTATAAATGTTTCCACATGGTGAGGTTTCCACATGGTTACCACATACTCGATACGTTTAAATATGTATTCAATATCTTCATATATAAATTCAATGCCTTCAAATATGTACTTATTATCTTTATATATAAAAATAGACTCAATATCTTTAAATTTCTATTCAATGCCTAAAAATATATATTCAACACCTTTAAATGTTGATTCTTCGCCTTTAAATAAGTATACATATCCTTTAAATTTTTATTCAATGCCTTTGAATATGGTTTCAATACCTTTGAATGTTCATTCTTTACCTTTAAATATGTACTCCATACCTTTATGTATACATTCGACCCCTTTGAGCATGCCTCTAATACCTCTAGATTCGTGCTTAATCACATTACATAGTCAACGTACCTTGTTTTCTTTGTTCTCCGGGACTAGTACCGCGCTGTCACCGTCTGTGGTTGTCGGCGCGTCTGTTATTTGACTTGGTGCTGGTTGTACGTGCTGCGTTGTCAAGTATGTGAGACATTTATGGGTTTAGGGTTTATGATTTAGGGTTGAGGGTTACGAGTTTAGAGAGTAGAGAGGAATGTTCAGGACGTGCAGAAACTTGATCAAATTAGGAAGGTTCGGAATGCTTGGAATGTTGGAGCGTGTTGGGAGTGGCAGGAGTTGACCCTTTCAGGAATGCTGACCACGACGAGAACGTTGGGAAGGGTTTAGGGTTTAGGGTTTTGTTGTCGTACTGCCAGGAGCATTTGCATAAGGCAGTCACGCTCAAAACAGCTGATGCAGTAAATCTGCCGGGTATAAAGCAGGTAGCGGCTGATGAGGCCCTTGACAAGGTGAAGGCCTATCACAAGTTTGCACAGTTTAGATGATACGGATATTTTTTTTAAAACTTGACCTATCACCTGAGCGCATATTTAAAAGAAATATGAAACTGGGATGTATGGCTATGGTACAATGCATGATTAAAAGGATATGGGTGTCACACATGCAGTTCCTAAGCAGCGATCATACAGGATACAGGCAAGCGATACGTCTCCGGCGTGGCATACCTGCTTCTTGAGGCCCTTATTAGCCCCCTTCTGCTGCTGCTGTTTGCCCCCTCCTCCCTTGATGGTTTTACTGTTCACCTGTTGCTTCGCCTTCTCTTGCGCTTGCTGTTTGGCCTTTTTCCCCTTTTCCCTTTTTTGGTAACGGGGTCGACCGCACCCTCCGACTGCAGCGCAAAAAATAGATCATAAAAGGTTAAACTACATCTGACAACACACCACATGCATGCACCATGTATACGTTGTGCACTACTTGCCGGCATCAGATTCATGTACAACTCCTTATTCTTACATATACGTTATACGGTATGCACCACTTGATTGCAACCGATTAAAGTACAGCTCCCTGTCCTTATATAAACATTATACGTTATGCACCACTTGATTGCAACCGATTAATGCACAGCTCCCTGTCCTTATATATACGTTATACGTTATGCACCACTTGCCTGCAACAGATTCATGTACAGCTCCCTGTCCATATATATACGTTATACGTTATGCACCACTTGCCTGTAACAGATTCATGTACAACTCCCTGTCCTCCTCGTCCTGGTCGGCGTACTTTGCCTTTGCGCGTTTCATTTTGGTGCGCTTACCCCGTGGGACTGTCTGTAGTGTTGGGTTGATCTTGGGTTCCTTGGCTTTTTGTTCGTCCTTTGGCATTTCTTCTGCAGATTTGGTTGCCATAGCAACACATGTGTGTAATTTGGACTGTCAGATAGAGTAGATTCGGTCACATTCATTCACTGCCAAATTTGTGCATGCTCTCCCAAATATTTTCGAATATTTGTAAATTACTGGGGAGTTCTCCGGAGGTGTTACAATGGCAAAACACAAATTCGTGATGTAATTCGGCAGGTTAATAGATTCAGTCACATTTCCTTTTATATAATCTGATTCGCCGCCAAAACTTCTATGTTCTCCCAACTATATTCGAATGTTTCTAAAAATTGGATCACACTGTGTCCCCAATTCTCTGATTTTAGTTCTCTGATTTTGACCCGCACAGTTTGCACATACCAGCGAATCCATTACCAATGTCCGTCATCATCAACATATGTAATTGTGTGTCAAAACAACTATCCTCTAGTGATACAAAACAACAAATGCGTCACATTCTACGATACTATGGTTATATTCATACAATCCAATATTCACACAACACATCCCAACACACATGCGTTGCCATGCCAACCACTTGCCCTTGTCCTCCCCTCACCAAACGTACCCGCGACTCCTTGTTTAATGTCCTCTATGTCCAGTCCCTTCTTCTTCATCAGGCGCCGTTGCCTGGCGGTGATATACCCTGTGCCACTCGTACTAGCTGAGTCGTCCGGTCCATCATCGCTGTTACTAGCATCGCTGTTACTAGCATCGCCTGCTTGGTTGGTTGCCTCAGCTGTGGTGTGTATGTGTAGTCAATGGATGGGTTATCCAGTGTGCACGCGGTAATGAGAGAAGCAATACATGTGTGTGTATATGCCTAGAACTAGATTGCGACAGTGACGTGAGAAGGAATAGGAGACACGTACGTGTATATGCGTAAATAAACAGACTGTGCGAGTGTGGCAATGGTGTGTTGGCATAGTTACAGTAGGCGACAAAGTCAGTGTACGAAAGAGTGTGGTATTATTATATGAATCTGTGAGCAAGTTTGCTGTTGGTATATAGTGCAGACAGTGATG